TTACCAGCGATAAAAATCTTGTCGGTATTAAATAACCCATTGAGATTGAAATGCCGTAGAACAAAACAAACCAAACTTATTGGTAAAACATCATCAACAGTAGATATGATGCCATCATTACTTCGATTCTGGTTCCCAGTTAAGTGTCTTTTGATTTGAGGGAATAAATGATAGATGAGGCCGAATCAGGTGAATATAGAAGGTGAACCACCAATTAAAAGCTACGGTCAAGCATATCAGCCATTAAAACCAGAGACATGCGTATTGGAACATTGTACTGATCAAACGAAACTGTTTTGGTTTAGTTTTCTTGGGTGTTTGATCTTGATAGCCTTTCGTAACTGCCTCGCCATTTTGGCATAGTCCTCTCCATTGATGGTGTGAACCTATTGAAGATAGTCAATAAACGGTAATAATTCGATTTTTTTCTATCCCTGAAAGCAGAGGCCATCACCTTGCCTGCAGATGAAACAACCTTGGCCTTCTTTGGAGCTGTTGAGCAAAATATAGTGTTCTCAAACAATTCTGTGCAAAATTCTCTATTTGTCTCTTGTCATTTTACATATGATATAAAAAAAAAACATATATATATATATACATATATATATATATATATATATATATATATATATATATATATATATACATATATATATATATATATATATATATATATATATATATATATATATATATATATATATATATACATATATATATATATATATATATATACATATATATATATATATATATATATATATATATATATATATATATATATATACATATATATATATATATATATATATATATATATATATATATATATATATATATATATATATATATATATATATATATATATATATATATATATATATATATATATATATATATATATATACATATATATATATATATATATATATATATATATATATATATATATATATATATATATATATATATATATATATATATATATATATATATATATATATATATATATATATATATATATATATATATATATATATATATATATATATATATATATATATATATATATATATATATATATATATATATATATATATATATATATATATATATATATATATATATATATATATATATATATATATATATATATATATATATATATATATATATGGAAAATATACATACATATGCAAAATATATATAAAAATACCCATACATGTATATTTTCAGAAAAAATTTTCAAGAGGAAGAATCCAGGTAGAACTCAATGTCTAGGACAGAGTAAGGATATAATAAAAAGGCCTTTTTTTACATATATATATATATATATATATATATATATATATATACATATATATATACATATATATATATATATATATATATATATATATATATATATATAAATTCATGAATCATTCATACAATAAAACAAATAGAGATTAATGATTTAAATGGCGAGAATACATCTTCGCAAACAATATAAATAACATACATCAACCCCGAACCTGTATATGAATGATATGATCCCTGTTTATAAATTCCAGTTGCATAAGGTCTTTTTAAATTTTTACAACCTTTCGTCTGTTCCTACAGACATCCTCAGGTATGGAAATAGATTTGTTCTTGTTTTTACTTCTTGGTAATATGAGAACAACGAAAATAGGGATGTAATCCGAAAAAATTCTATGAGAAATGTGTTATTGTTCTGGAACGTGCGGTCGCAACACTGAGTTTGAATTTTATGATTCATGAATTTATAAATTATAATATATAGTTCATGCCACATTGAAGGAAAACTTACCAGTAAAAAAGAATTCTCTTTTTCCTATATTTGTACAAAAACGCACAACCTTAAAATTTAAAATGTTCGATATTCCACCTGAAGAAGGCCATAGCGTACACCGGCCAAAATGTTGTGATAAACATGGTGACAATGTTGAGGACAATAGTCCGAATAATGTAGTGGGTTACGTTAATTTCCAAGTGAAGACACTTTGTATGGTTAGAATGTAATATTCTTTTTTTTTTTTCTGAAACATCTTACCTAAGCAAGTCAACAGATCCACTAACACACAGGTCTTACCGATTGTGAAAGAATATATCCTTCCTAATGTGTAGGCCCCGGAAGGTAGTTGTTAACAGCCAGTCGCCCGGTGTCCTATCAGTCAGCGCAGGCGTCCCCCACCCCCAGTGTTCATATCTCGGACCAACCCTCTTTTCAATAATCTGCCTAAGAGAGTACTCTAATCATCATCTATGCTAATGATACAAGATATGGGTGCACCTCCAAAATTTGTGATGACCAGAGATCTTTCTTCTGATTTAGTTCTAACAGCGCAATGGACGAAAAACTGGTCACATTTAATGCCTCGAAAACCAAACTAGTTACATTCCATAATCGTCGATCGAACTCCGAACTACCATCAGTGACAATGAACAGTTCTGCCTTAGTGCCTTGAGCGTCTATTGGGTCTTCAACTAACCCTAGACCTCAAGTAGTTCTCGTACCCTTGCTAAAGATGCCGGAAAAATGGTCGGCCCCTGTAAGCACCTCGTGCTATTCTCAGCTTATACAAGAAGCAGATGAGGCTAAAATCGAGTACTGCTCAGTCCCCGGTCTCGATAGTGTCCAAAAGCCTCCCACTGCTTTTTCCATATAAAAATGCTCAGACGAACAGCATTCCTTCGTTCCACCGATTCTAACCTTCACGTCTAGGACCCGCCACGGCGCTCACATTCTAGCAAACCGCCCAAATTTCCCCCGTATCCCATTGGTGAGAAGAAAGTTTCACTCGACCAGTTCTTGCAGCGAACAACTGCTCTGTGGAACCGACTCCCAAAAGGATTTTTTCCCGTTCAAGTCTAGAGTTAACCGTTATATTTCCAATCTATCCGCATAAACTGCACCTCTCACTAACTCTCTACCTTGAGTGGCCACAGGGCTTTGTACAGGGTGAAAAACTTAAGCGAGAGAAATAAAAGAAATAATTTAAGAGGACTGAAGATAACGTTCAATCATTCTATAGCATTAGCGAAACTACTCCACAAACCAGGTTACAATTTATAAACGCTGATTCCATCTGTTCTATATATACAGTGGTTCTTCAGAAATTTGGACATCTAGGTTCTCCACAATTAACTCTCCTCTGAAGACCTCAGTAATGTTTTTCCCTTAGTTAAATCTCGTGATCTCTGTTCTATTAACTGTTTTACGCACGCTTGTTAGGCATTGCTTTCCTCAGTTTGCTCAATATGACCCCACGAGTCCAATGTTTAAAATCCTCTTCCCTCATGATGTACCCAAGAAATGTCAACTGACACTCAGTGTAAATGTCCTTTGTTTTCTATAAAACTTCGTTGTTCTTCCCGGGTTCGAGTTTTCGTTAAATGCAAAAAAGAAATGAGTAGATAAAAATAGTTGTAAGGTTTTACTTCTTTTTTTTTAAATTTTTTTTATTATTTCAACGAGGTTACATTCGCCCCAAACACCTCCAACTTGCGACCTGAAGTTTCGAAATTGCTGTACAATTTTGATATTTTTTTTTCATCACTAAGAATAGATTTTCAATCTCACAGTAACACTACTGGTTTTGGCTTTTCAAAAAGATTCAAGAAGAAAAGTATTTCAATATTGAATAGAGAAAGGCCGCGACTTAAAAAGTCAAAAATAAAATAAAAACATAAAAAATAAAATGTATGAAAAAGAAAGTTATCAAAATTGGTGTAATTTAACACTTAGGCATCCCCCCCCCCGCAAAGCTATTTAAATCTAGTTTAAATTTTTGTATAAACTATGGAAAGCGGGGAGAAAGAGGACTAGAAGCAGCAGTAATATATATATATATATATATATATATATATATATATATATACACACACACACTGAAAAATTGCTACAAATACTAATAAAGATTAACTAGTGTCGATAAAAAAAATTAGCAAATATGTAAGTTATTTTGGAAAATTTGTCGGCGGCTTCTTTGCCAGATTTAATTTACAGATTAATAAAAATCGGTATGGCGAGAGACCCCAGTGAAAGTGTGGATAAAGTGTACAAGAGAATATAATGTTCACTTTATAAAACGGATGGAAATTAGTTTAATGCCCACTGTTAAAAAAAAATCACTATCCCTCTTGAGTCAACTTCGTAACAAATGACCATTTTAAAAGTGTTCTGCAATCCTACAGAAGTTATTAACAGCCTAAAATCTAGGAGTCTTATGGAGCAAAACGTTTAATACAGTTCAAAGGTCATATCGAAAAAAAAAAAAAAAAAAAAAAAAAACGAAATCTGAATTTCTTTCAATGTCGCAAAACCATAAATATGCTTTGGATAATTTAAATTCATTTGAATAGATTGTAAATTCATAGTACAGAGGGAAGGGTTATTCAGTTATAGAGATGTAATTTAATTGGCGATTTAAGATACAAGTGATTAACAGCCATTACATTAGAGTTGGTAATAAGGGAGATATTCAAATTCCATTGGATCAAATGTTGGTTTATGTCTTAAAGACAAAATGTTGTTGGAAAAGTGTAGGCTCCACACTCCGCGTGATGGTTTAGTTTTAAAAACAAGATCCCGAAACAATTCAATAGAGGGAAATTTCGAGTAGGAAGTAAAGTGCGGGAAGAGAGGAGAGAGATTTTTTTTTTTTTTTTGAATTAAAAATTATGTACACGAAAGAAATCGCTTGCAAATATTACCGACGTTAACGGATTTTTTGGAATTGTTACTGTAAGAAGACTATTTCTACTTTATGCATATGGAGTTAATTTTAGACTACATGTAACTAGCATTACTAAATTCACCAATTCTCATCGGCACATCGTCAAAAAGCTTCAGAAATTGGAAACAAAGCTGAGCAATATCTGAAATTGCATTAAGAGCTATAGGTTCAAAATCGCGTAGCAGAAATTAAAAAAGCCCGCGAATAAAAAAGTAAAATTGTTTTATCGTTAATATTGCATTTAACACGGTTATATGTTCTTCAAAGGGTGAAAGACTTCCAGTTTCCACCGGAAGGGATATTGGAACTGGATGGCGGCACTTGAACGGGATGAAGACACTCCATCTCAAATTCTTCGAAATCATCTTCCTGGTAGCTGTTACTATGCTCTCCTTGGCGGAAGGAGACTAGCTGCTCATTATGCTTAGACGGGCCTTCATTTACGTTGGAGGATCCACTACACGGAGTCAGATACTTCAAACTGTAGACAACGACGTGCTTTATTAATATTGATAACAAAAATAAAGCCACGCCGGAGAGTAAGATAAAGAACGCCATCATTGACGCCGTTTGAGAAGTCGACAATTGCTGCTCTTCAGCCTGGGAAGACTTTGGTGCCTGGAGTGTGGTTGCAGACGGAAACGATAATTCCTGCTCTCCGGCGGGCGTAGGAAATTTCACCTGGGGTAAAGCAGACCCTTCCTGTTTATTGTTCTGGAAAGGTGATGTCGTTTGAGGTGACGTTGTAGGGAAAGCAGTCAGCTCTTGCTCTCTAGTCGGGAATGACGCGGTCGCCTGCGTTGCGACTGTAGCAAAATTCGAAACCTTTCGCTCTGCAGTCGGCATAAGAGAGGTCACGTGGGATGACGCAGTAGAAGTCGACCCTTCCTGCTCCATGTCCTGCGTAAGTGCTGTCGCTTGGATTGACGGTGTATCTAGAGCAGACATTTCCTCGTCACCAGTTTCCGTGTGCGTGGTTGCCTGGGTAGATGATATTTGAAAAGCCGACAATTCCTGCTCTCCAGTTGAGATTTCCCGCCGATTATTATTTTGCAGATACTTTTGTCCAACTTGCTTTTCTCTGCCAGTTAGGTCTTTGGAATGGCACGAATTGTCGGTCGTAGTAGATTCCCCAAAGAACGGTGCTGTTAAACCAGCCAACAGACATACACAAAACAGAGCTTCGATTTTAGCCATTCTTTTTGCGACGCTGCATGCACCGGCTTTCAGTACTTTTAAAGCTTTGCTTCATAGCTAAACGAAGAACCGACAATAGGACTAGTCCATTTGTTCCAGGGGGTGAAACGAATGCTCTTGTTTAAGCTGCTAGTTTGTTTCAAGTACAGTGATATGGGTGATGCAAACGAAGGGAATGTTACGATACGAACGTTATTTTTATCAGGTTCTGATTGGATTCTTTGGCCATCAACTCAGGTTAAAGACAATAACAGATAGAAAGCGTTTGCTATCCGAATTTCTCCGTTTCTGTTTATCTCCTTGGATCTCCAGATAGCATTGTGACTATTATAATTTCCTAGGACATTGAAGAATTTGGGTAATTCTTTTATCAGATCGTCCAGTTTTTCTTGTTCTATCTGGTTATGTGGTGCGATATATAGAGAGCATATGTTAACTGTTCTGTGCAAAGTAGACCCCACAGCAACTGCTTGCGATTCTGTTTTTAGTTCAATTTTTCTCTGGGTATGTTATTCTTTTTATTGAGAAGGTTAAACCTCCAGAGGGCTTAAGTCCAGCGCTGTTGGGTTTGGTTTGTTTTACGGCATATCAACCTCAGTAGGTTATTTAATGCGGAAAAAATTTTCATTGTTGATATTATTTTTTTCCAAATATCTATTACTGGTAATATTTTTTCCTTCAAAAATCTATTTCTGGTAATAATTTTCCTTCGTTGGCAATATTTGTTTTTCAAAAATGTATAGCTGGTAATATTTTTTTAAATATATTGTTGGTAATATTTTTTTTAAATGTATTGCTGGTAATATTTTTTTTCCAAAAATGTATTGCTGGTAATAAGTTTTTTTTTTTTTTTTTACAAAGTATTTCTGGTATTAAAACCTATTTTTACACTTTCATAGTGTTTTGACCCCAGTTTGGGGGTTATCTATTTGCCATAGCGGGGACTCTAAAAGGTGCTACAACCCCGTGCCAGAGTGGATCTGTGAGCACCAGCAATTAAGAGGTGGTTCCACGCTCCTGATCAGAGGCCTTGCTGTTGGACGTAGTTTATCGTCCTACCCAAGACGCGGATGTAGTTTATCATGTTTATCAGGACGAGGATGTAGTTCATCGTCTTACCCAGAACGCAGATGTAGTTCATCGTCTTATCCAGGACGCAGATGTAGTTTATCGTCTTATCCAGAACGCGGATATAGTTCATGGTCTTACCAAGAACGCGGATGTAGTTTATCGTCTTACCCAGGACGCAGATGTAGTTTATCGTCTTACCCAGGACGCGGAGGTAGTTTATCGTCTTATCCAGGACGCGGATTTAGTTTATCCTTTTACCCAGGATGCGGATGTAGTTTATCGTTTTATCCAGAACGCGGATGTAGTTTATCGTCTTATCCAGAACGCGGATGTAGTTTATCGTCTTATCCAGAACGCGGATGTAGTTTATCGTCTTATCCAAGACGCAGATGTAGTTTATCGTCTTATCCAGGACGTGGATGTCGTTTATCGTCTTATCCAGGACGCAGATGTACTTCATCGTCATACCTAGGACGGAAATATGATTGTACTCTTGATAGTTTTTAATATTAATATTATCATTTTTAGAAATTTTTCTTGGCGACGTATAACCACAGAATCAAATGAGTAAATCATTGTAATTTCATTCAAATTACTTCTAGTATCTAACATGGGATACATTTCAGTATCCCATGTTTGTTTTTTATTTGACTTTGATACTTTTTTAATGTTTTAACATTTGTTTGGAACTTTCTGGTGGCGTATCATTCATTCTCACTAGTACCTTGAATTTATTATTTGTGGCTGCCAGAAGAGATCTTTTGTTGGTTAGTCATGTGTTTTTTTGGTGGGTATAAGGGGTATTTCAGCGTGGTTTATTTTGAGACTTTTTGGGGGGAATTGTTACTCTTTGTGATTTTTGTTGCTTTATAGGGAGATTTTTTTGTTTTGTACAGGCGGATTCTGAGTCAGAGCATGTGTGTTTGAAATAGAATCTTGCAACGTATTTACCATTTCTGCTTGGCAGCTCTCAAACCTTCCTGTTTTTTTTTATCACTTCCGTTCCTGGACAGCTGCACCAATTACGCGATGAGTGCTATATATTTGTTGTTGTTATTGCTGCCAAAAGGATTCAACGACTAAACCATATTTTCCTAGGTATGGCCCTTCATATAGGAATCAACTAGTTTCCTTATTTCCTGGAAGGTTATATATTTTCTATGCTCACCTCCCAACTTTCTCTCTCCCTCTTTTATATATATAGCAAAATGGTGATACTGGCTAGAGAAGTTAATCCAGAGATTCAATAACTATGAATCTAGGGAAAAGAGTTCCTGCTTCTATTTGCCATATGATTGTTGTTTTTTTACATTGGCTCTGTGCTCCCATCACGTAATTAAAACGTGGGTCTTGTTTGAGACGGGCATACCTCTACCAGTATACTCTCATTAAGACTTTGAGTCACTGTCAACTTTGAGTTTCAGTAACCAAAAATCTGAATCTTGTTTTGAAACAGTGGACAAAGTTTGTTTTTCTTGGACTAGAAGCATGAACTGCTCAAACTTCAGGTTTGAGTCCTCAAGCAGTACAGGTCGCCATCCACAGCAAGCAAATGACCTCGTTGTGGTGGGGTGGTCTTACATCCCTAAAGAGGTGAAGTCTTCATATTCTACAGCCTCAGCCGGCAGGGCGTAGAAATTACATGCTTATATATTATACTAGCAGCATGGCCCGGCGTTGCCCGTGCTTGATTCAAAAATCGTACGACTCATACAGCAATCGCTATCACTTGACTTAAAATATTTTTGCCCTTCCTTGCCTTTAAAGGAGTGCCCTTTACCGTGTTGATGTTGCTACATGCCTTACTTCTTGCCTATCTGACACTGCGAATTTTTTCTAAGCTCTATACTAAACATTAAACCTGTTACGAAGAAAGAACTAAACAAAATGAACACAAGACCATCAGCTTTAAAAAAGGACTCGTAACTGGAAAAACCGAATGAAAAAAGAATGTTAACAACAAATACTTTTTCACACCCAACCCAGTTCCGCGGAATCAGAATCAACGTTGAGTTTAAGCAAGCGAATGACCCAATTGGAGTAAAGTGGCATGCAGATTTAAATTTTTCCACTTGTGACGAATGCAGCTATCGATTTTTTTGCATGCTAGCATGCTAGTTAACATTTGTGTCAGTCAGCTGTTGGCTCTTACGCTGGCCAATAGAATCTTCCTGCCTATTCGTGGTAGCCAGCTATAGGCTCTCACTCTGGCCAGTAGAAAATGGCCGCAAACTACATGGAAACTGCCATAGAAGCATGTAAAAATCGATTATTTCCACTATCGACGGGAGTTGGGAAATGCAACGTCGGTCTTGGCCTTCCCGCTAACTTGGAGCATGTGCATGTAAATTTTGGTGCAAATCCGTCGAAAATTGCGGCCGTGCATTCGTTACACACACACACACACACACATCCTGACTTTTATAGATAGATATTTATCTATGTGTCTATAATCATTAGTGCTTTCTAAACATTATATATATATATATATATATATATAGAGAGAGAGAGAGAGAGAGATAGATACATATAGATGTTTATTGTGTAATTATTTAAGTGTTTTATTGATTATCTTCTAGTTTTCTCTTTTCTACTACTATTATTATTATTATTATTGTTTGTGTATGTTATGTTTCCTGCCTTGTATCCCGTAAAGCCGGGTCCAAACTATGATCCTTAAGAATTGTCATTTAATTAATAGCACTTTTCTTAGTATATGTTAATTTCTTAGTAGGGTGATTTTCTGAGCAACATATGGTGATGTTACCTGGGACACTGTTAGTGAAACTATCCCTTCCTTTTCTCACGAGGTCCAGAGCTCCGATTACTATTGATACAGTCTCAGTTTTCATTCCCCACATCCTGTTAATCTCGATCTCCAGGTACGCCTATTTGGACAATTTCTCGATAATGTTTTCAGAGGTGTTTTTTCTCATATGGTACTGCGATGCCAATAAGCATACAATTCCTGAATTTCTTGTCTTTTATGATAATATCAGGTCTGTTGGTTTTTATTTCCCTATCATTTGAATTGGCATGTCCCAGAGGATAGTTACATCGTTGTTTTGGGTACCTGTGCCTGGTTGGTGGCCATATCATATCTCAATAGTTTGGATTTTGTCCTTCTTGCATGTCTTCCTGTTTATTATTATTATTATTATTATTATTATTCTGTAGTCACAAATAATACCCATACCTGTATAAGAAAATGTTTTCATCGTTATTATTATTATTATTATTATTATTATTATTATTATTTAATGCACTTCATCCTATATTATTGCATATATACTCTAATTAACACATTAATAAGTCAAACGGTAAAATCTTTTAATTTACGCACCTTCCCACACATATAGTTGACGACATCTGACCGCATAATAAAAAAATATAACAGCTTCCCCATATGACCATTGTGTATATAAAAAGCGAGAAAATAGCTCAATATCAATGACAGATCATTTGCAGATATGGTGTGTGAACATGGGAATCAATACTGTATGGTGACTATGAGCTCCATGCTTTAAGCGATCTACAGATCACTGGTAAGGTTTTCAAGAGAGTGATGCAAGATGAAAGCACAATGCAAGACAAGCTAATGTTTTATAAATATACATTCCATTGATATGAAATAACAAAAGTTTAATTGTTGAAATATACGCCTTCCATTGACCGGAGAATCAAAGATTTGAAACAAGATATTATTTACGTTGTTATATTATCGAGCAGTGGTTAATAGGTGTGGCATAAGAGGATAGCAGCTGAGGCGGAATGATTAGAAAATAATGAAAGATTTAAAACAGTTTCAAAAATCCATATGTCAAAAGTAAATATGTTTTAAAAATTTTAAATATTGTTATGGATTACTTGTAATTGCATGCATAATCCCAGTAAAAGTAGTTATAAATAATTATAATCGATTTTATCAT